TTACATTACTTGCTTTTTGATTGAATCACTTTAGTTCCTTTTTTTACCCCCAAATGAGAGGAAGCTTTCCATTGTTCATATATGTTGGAGGCCACAATTCTTGTTTTAACTGGATTTCATTATGTTTAATCTTTTATTTGTGTTGATTGTATGAAAGCATGAAAATCATCAATGCATTTTGTTTGATTTTGAGCATAACTACCTAACCAAATAGTCAATTCACATTGTGAGTGTGTGATCTTTTGTTAACTCCTTTTGGCCTTTTTTTCAATGTCCATATTGTTTTTGAACTTAATACTTGTCTATGAGTGTTTGGTTTTCCTTTTTGAATGGATATTGATTCTTTGTTTTCTTGTGTCATACCCCAAATTTGTCCTACCCATTTATAACGACCGTCTGGCTTATGCATCTCACATCCTTCATGTACATACTTCACATTAGGTCCTTTAGCATTACATTCATCTTTAATCAGTAAGTAGTCATGGGATCAAGATATTTCTTTTTGGAAGCTACACAAAAAAGATTGTTCTGTCTGGAAGTATAACAAGGAAAAAACTCTATTTTTTCGAAGTTTAAATGTGTTCCGCACATTTGGTAAGCTATAAAATCAATAATATATTAAGACATCATCATGTCAAGCTATCATGTATGTCAACACACTTTGAATTGCAGAGGAATCAGATGTTTCAGTGAATTTGAGACTATGCTAGCCAAAACAGTGTTTTTGCTGGTTTGAGCTTAGGAATTCGCAACTTTCAATTGGGATGCTTTTTTTAAATGGTTACTCAGGATTTGGAATCTTTTCGGTATTTTATTCATTTCATCTGTTCAGATCGGAAGCCAATTCTATGAAAAAGGTCTCCAAAGAGTATGATTTCCATGGAACGGTATTTGCGTTTAATGACTGGTTATCTATTTCTCGGGTGTTCGTAAATTAATAACTTTCATCTGATTCAGTTTTTTCAGTTGATTCTTCGAGCATTGAGATCGCCTTGATTTTATTGTCATTTCTCGTGTTCGGATCGAAGGCTAATTTTTTGAAGAAGATCTCTGAGAATTTTCATTCTTTGAAGACAATGCACTAAATCTAATTGTTGGTTAGCCAGTTTGCAGGTAATCAAAAATTCATAACTTCTAATTGGAATACTATTTTGGAGCGGTACTGGAGGCGTTAAAACCGTATTAATACTATCTTTAATTTTTATGTTCAGCTCGGATGCTGATTCGGTAAGGAAGATCTCTGAATGTGCAGATACTTTGAGAAGAAATAGTGAAAATACAGTGAAAATGGTGTGCTGAACCGTTATTTTTCAGACGTTCAAAATATCATAACTTCCATCTGGTTTAAAATTTTTGAGTGGTTATTTTGTAGGAAAATACATCTTAATGTGATCTTCATTTCTAATGTTTGGGTCGAAGGTTGATTCTTTGAGGAAGATCCCCGGAAATGCGAATCACTAGAGAAAATTTTATGTTGAACCGGGTTTTTATTTCATTGTTTCTCGATATTGTAAAAGTCATAACTTCTTTGGTTCTTATCTTCTCGAGACGTTTCTTTCGGAATAATTTCAAAAATGACGTTGGCAACAAGTTTACTTCAGAGCTCGAGGTCTAATTCAACTCCGAAGACTTCGTTTCATGGCTCGCAACTCAAACTGAATAGTGAAAAATTATGCATTACTAAGAAAGACAGTGTCAGTGTCAAATATTCTCGCCACGCGAAAATTCATAACTCGCTCGATTTTTGTCGTTTCATGTTTTTTCTTTTGGCACGATGTCACAAATTTCGTTATCTACGATTTTTTTGTTGGTCTCACATCGAGATTTCGCATCGATTATCATTGAGTTTGTCGATTTTCCATTTGACCATGTTTGCTGACACTCAAAAATCAACTTTGTGAGGAAAATTGACTAGGATTTCTATTGATCCAAACCAAGGCCCAATTGTCAAGACTATATATTGATTTTGCCTCACTATTTTCACAACATTTCAATTATTTGCAAGTTTCACTCTCAAAAATCACAAACTCTCTCTCAAAACTCAAGATCAAAGAAGAAGAAAAAGTTCAAAAGCAATCTCCCTCTAATTCTATTTCTCTCTCTCTCTCTCTCTCTCTCTCTCTCTCTCTCTCTCTCTCTCTCTCTCCCTCCTAAACACTTCTCTCTCCCTCTCTGTCCAGCGCCTTGCGCCACTGCCGTTCCCCTCAGTCAACCGGCTGGCCGCAGTGAAGACTCCCTTTGGCCGCACGATTTTTCGATCACTCCCTCCCTCCAATTTCGTGATTCCGACATCCTCCTTCTTCTCCTCTTATATTTCAATATGGTAATTCCTTATCCTCTTGACTTAAGTGTGTAATACCCCAAATTTGTCATACTCTTTAACAAGGATCATCTGGATTATGCATCATCATATACATCCCTTCCATTAGGTCATTTAACATTGCATACATTCACTAACAACATAACTTGGCAGGGGATCGAGAATCTTCAAGAATTAGGGTTTTCGATATTTGTTTTCAGGAGAGATTTCTTTGATCCAGGGTTTGGTTCCTCTTCACCATTTCGAGCCTCATATCCATCTTCAAAAGTTCTTTAAGGCATTTACATTGTGTGCTCCGCATGTCAAGATATCTTTGAAGATTGAGGTGCAAAAGCATTTGAGTTATGATACAAAGATGAAGAGGTGAGTTCCTTGTGACAGAGGCATTATTGTCCTCTCAATAGCTTATTTCTTGTAGAGCAATATAATATGGATTTGAGATCGAGGTTAGGATTTTTAACAAGAAGGCAAATTGATTTAGGTTTTTATTCGTTAAGAATTGAAGTCAATTTGGACTCATTGAAACTACTTATTTTGCTCAAGATTGATATTAGCTCAAGGTTTCAATTTCATGATTTGGCAATGGTTGATTCTAGATAAGGTTGGAAGATTCATTAATGTGGTTCTCTTGGTGTACAAGTTATGAATTTTCAAAGAATTATAAGTCATAACATCTTTCAAGGTTATTCATTTAGTTTTGTTCATCAAAACTCATCAAGATCCAAGGGTTCACGTTCATTCAATGATATGATCTTTACAAGTTATAAACATCACTCATGATTTGTCAAAGGGTTATCCAAATTCATTCTCGTTCATTCGAGGTCATAACCATGCAATTTACAAGCTGTGTTATTGGAGCATTACAAAAGAAGATTACAAAGGCCATTTACATCCAAGATTACTAAATCAAAACAAGAATTTACACTAAATCTTCAAGTGGCCTAAAACTAAAGAGTCCCAAATTCCAAGTCTCCATCATTCATTTCTAAGCTTATTCATCTTCAAGCCATTATCTTCCAATATTTCTTTATTCCCACTTGGTTATGTCCAAGCCTTAGTCCATGTTTCATGCCAAAATAAAACCCGCATAAACAACCATTTTCCAAGCAAGTTCAATGCCAATGTATAATCAAGCCAATTCAATTTGAAGTACAAAAATCACCAATTACACCAAGTGTTACATACTTAAAGCAAACCAGTTTATCACACTCATAACACATACACTACACTCATGATAGAATTGACCACATACTACCCTATACGCTTCAGGTTTTTTGTCAAGATCATGCTGACTTTACCTAAGTACCAATGTATAAACTGATTCCATTCATTTTTCATTGTGCCCTGCATCAAGAAAATACCAGCACATTCACTTCAAACTAGAAAATAAATAAAGCTTAGAACATGTCCACTTCATGTCATGACCAAAAGTAAGTGTTCGTACCAGCCACCAAATTCCAGACATGCATTCATCAATAACCAAAGGAAAACATAAAAATAAGTGAAGAATCAAAGTATTACTGAGCCTACTTTGTCTAAGTCAGCAACATACTGCATTCTTCCTACACTTTCACTTTTTTTTTCATTTAGACTCATACTAACAGTAACAGTAACAGAAAACTAATTTCTCTAACTAACACATAACCGAATCCCAACATCCAAAAACCTCCTAACTTTTTCTAAATATAAGTTACCAACAGGAAACAACCTATAACTAACTCCAGCTTCTAACAAAAATTACAATAGAAAAACCTAACCAAGTTCTAACCAACATCTAACTGTTTCTTTTTTTTAATTCACCCCATAACTGTCTAACAGATTCCTAACAAACCCCTATAACAGAAAAAACTTCATAACAAAAAACTAACTTCTCTAACTCTCTAACAAACTTTGAATGAAGGATAACAAAAAAAAGGGGATTCATCCACCAGAAAGAGTCACAACAAAAAACTGACAGATAAATACTCACCTCTAAGATTATCCTCTGGGAAATTCTTCTGCACTTCATCTTCCTCCTCACCCTTCTTCTTCTCCCTTCAACCTCATCCTCAACCTTTCTCTGCAACATATACGACTAATTCTCCATCATTTTCCAAAAAAATCTTCATTTTCGATTCTCTCTTCACTCTCTCATCTTCTCTTTAACACCATAATTCTCTGAATTGCTCTACTTCACATCAATATATCCATGCATATCATCAACATTCAATTATCTGCAACCTTCCGCAACTTGCTCCGATTGTCAACTTCCTGGATTAACTCTTCACCACAGTCTTATCATCTTTAATTTCTTGCTTCTCTGTATCAAGAATTTATGTAGCCAAGCATCACAAAAGAAGAATGTTGTCATTATCAATGTTTTTACTCATCAATAACGAGTAATATCGGAAGAAGGCATGAAATCAATAGAAGAGAAGAACAAGCCGAAGAATATAAAGAAGGGTAATAAGGCAACATATTATCTCACCTCTAGTTTTCAATATATCTACTTCGAAGCGGCAAATTCAGGTTTTGTAATCTTCCATTTCTCTGTGGAATCCATGGGCGATTGTCTTGAATGCATGCACATCATGTAGCCTCTCTAATTTTTGATGCTTTATTGAGCTTACAGATTGATTTATTCGAAGGAGGTTTTGGTCTTCTCTAGGTTTGATCCTAAAATAAAAGGTTGAGGGAAGAATCAGTGGACTTGAGTGATGAGTATTATGAGATCAGATTTAGAGATGAGAGAAGACATCACAGCTGAGCGAAAGAGGCATTGATCGCGTTGTATTCTGGAGTTGATGATGGCGGCAGTTCTCGATGAAGAGGAGGAAGCCACAACTGTGTCTGAATTGATCGAAGAATAAGGGAATTGAATTGAAGAAAAACTAAAAGCGCGATGGTGTTGATCAGAAGACAATGTTGGAGACACAAATTCAACCCTAACCTCACAAGCCACAAGATGCACCGTTTTCTCCATTTTTTGTTATCCCATTTTCTTTTATTTTAATATATTGTTTATAAAAATAAACAAAAGCTGGATAATAACTAAAAATGGATTGGGATGTGCTGTATTGGACCGAACTAAAATTCCCTGGGCCTATTAATGACTGTTTTTGGTATAACAAGACTTATGCTGAAAAGCTCTTTTTGGACTCATGCAGATTTGGCTTTGCACTTTGCTGAAGTAATCCCTGGATTTAACTCTACACCCCTTTTGTTTAGAATTTTAAATTTCTTTCCCTATTATTTTTCTTGCTTGTCATAATTTTTGTTGATAAAAATATGTGAAAAATGTTATTGCAATTATGGGTGATTATTGGTAAGTAAAAGAGATATTGTTGAAGAGTTTCAAGAAAGTTTCGAAGCTAGCTAAGAGCCCAAGTTTGATCAAGGAAATTTCAAGAGGCTTTTGGTAAAGTTTTCTCTTCACTTGCATGGTTTTAAAGAGACAGCGAACCTTCTTCGTTAGGTATTATCGTGGCTTCACTTTTATTCCTCATTTATCTCATTTCTTTACTGCTTCCTAGATATCATGAGAAGTAAGAAATTTACTGCTTTTTGATGACATGAGAAGTAGGGTAGTGATGTATGAAGGGGATCTCCATTGATGATTATGTTAGCAATCCCTCTGGTTTATTTAAAGACCTGTTTAGGGAAATTCCGCATTGTATGCATTCTATTTGCTACTTGTGTGTGGTTTGTTTAAAACCCTGCCTTTGAGTAGGTATTCCGCAGGTGTGTTTACATTTGTGCCTGCACTATTCCCCAATCCCTTATTGAAGTCCTCAAAAGGAGGCGAGCGGGGAGGGTTCACAATCAACCCCTGCAATTTCGTTCGTGTCATCCTTTTCTCATGACGTACCACGATGCTTCGGGTTTGTGCCTGCTCTTGTTATCAAGTCGTCAAGTGGGGAAGGGTTGCATAATCGAAACCCCACATAAGTTAGACCTTAGGTTGCAAGCCATGCATGCTAACATTAGGTAGAAATTTCTCTATCATCCTTGAAGTAGGGCCTCCATTGTATGATAACATTATGGGTATTGTTAGGCTAGTCTCCCTTAGTTGTTTTCTCCCTTTTGCATATGCATTTAAAACTAAAAATATCTTTTTCTTAAGCAAATCCTAAAACACTCTCTAATAAAAAAATCCTTTTTCACGTGAGGACATAATTAATTTAATTTTGTGCCAATGCGTGAGTCTCTAAAGGTCGAGCTACAGTAGAAGGCAGAATTAACATTGTTCATAAAAAACACAAACAAACAAAAACATGTGATCCAAACTACGGTAACTCTGATTCCTCAAAAAGGATACGTAGGCATTGGGGTAGGACCCAAGCGAGTACAACTTTATTTTCCCTACATTGTTTTCTCTTTCTCTTTTCTTTCACATGCATTTTTCCTCCGTAGTAAACAATAAGCATAGTTTAAACACACCCATAAGATAGATAACAAGAGTGGTTGATGTAGAGTACTACGGGCGTGTGGGGTGATAATACCTTCCCCTCCCATAACATACTCCCTTACCCGATCTCTCGGTCGCAAGACCGTGACTTCTCCCTTCTCAGGTTTTATAGATGTTTACCTTTCCCTTCATGTTGGATAAAAGACGTTCAATGGCGACTTCATTGTTTGATGATTTTCAGCCGGTTGTTTCAAATTGCTTTTTTACATAAGTGATTTTGTGAATAAGAATTATTGTGATTTCTTGAAATCGAATTCTATTTGAGATAATTGATTTAGGAATCAATTGATTGGAGATGTTAGAATCATGTGGAGTAGGATAAATTGATTTAACGGTTAAACCTTGAACTAATTTGTTCATGCATGAAAATTGTTTGTGAATATGCTTGAGTGAATTAGTTCATAAGTTGAGCATAGAGTTCCATCAAATTGATTCTTGAATTCAATTGTGAATCAATAATGTTGTCGAAATCCAGAATGAGATGAATGTTGTTCAATTGATGTGGATTGTGAATTTTACGCCGATATTCAGTATTGAATTTTTTTGATAATAATGGTTCGTTCACGAGGTTATATAATGTTGAATTGAATTGGATGATAACACTTTTTTTTACATTATAATTTTCGATTCGAGTAAGTATTTCAACTCATGAAGCATGTTGTTTGTGACCGAAAACTTGAGCATCAATGAGGACTTAATTCATTACAAGTGTTTGTGGATTTTAGACAACATCTCATGAATCAATAATACTTCCAATATGTCCAAGTGAGAGTTTGAAACAAATTTTTGATGCATAATGATTCATGAATAATGATGTCCAGAATAAACAAATAGCTTCTAATATGCGTTTTAATTTGTGTTTGATGTGTGTTGTTCATAATCGGTCATTTCTTGGTTGTTGATGTGGAGTTTTAGAAATTTAAATTCATGTTTCCGGATAATTTTGAGGAGTAATAAGTTGTTGTCCAGTATCGATAAATCATGTGAAACATGCAATTTAATTGTTGTTAAATACTCATGAAAGCTTGGCTTGGTAATTGATGAGTACCGGTACCGTTTCGGTTGATTTCAGAAGTAATTTTTGTGCATTCTATTTGTGAAAAAGTTGCTTTCTGGAAAATGATTTTCATGCATACACCATGATTTAATTCAAACTTGATGCTTACTTGAACTCGTTTTCACTTCTAATGGATACCAGTATTAATTTCGGTGGGTTTTATTCCGACTTTTTTGTGCGTTCTAAAATTGCAATGTTGCTCTCTGAAATTTCTTTTTCCATATACATATTGTTTTAATTTTCATTTAACACCTGCTTGTACATAATTAACCATTTCAAGAGCATTGTTATTGAATTTTTTTAATTCCGATACAAGTTTCCGCTTAAATTCATATATGTACATAATGCTGTCCCTTTTCAATTCTACATGTACATGCTATTTTAATTGCCATTTGATGTTCATTTGTACACATATCTAAAAATGTCATGAACATTGAGGATGAGTTTTGTCAAGTCTGATGCATCTTTTTTGATTAATTCCGAGTTATATGAGTTGCTTCCTGGATTCGATAAATAGGTGTAAATACATGATTTAAATATTGTCTAAGGCTTGTTTGAAAATGTTTTGGTGTTATAGACTGTTGTTGTCGAGCTATACCATTTTCAGTGCAATTATCAGATGCTTTCATGTTGTATACATAGTGCTGCTTGGTTTTTGGTTTTCCCCTTCCGTCGCTTATTTGTACTTTGTTTCTTTGCATTTGATCATTATTTTTGAGTTGTAATGTAATACTTGATGTTGCATTGTTATTTTCTAACTCATTTTTGACTTGTGCAAGTTTCCCAAGGCTTTGTCGTGTGACACGCGATATTTGGATTATTGTCTCTCTTGTATAGACTTATCTTGTGCAGGGACTTTGATTCGATGCGACAGACTTTCCGCATGCGATTTATTTTCACATTTTGCAATATTGCTTGCTATTATTGCATCTGATTATGACTATTTCTTTGTTGCTTGGTGAAGCTTGCACAAAGTTTTTGGGTTTCTTTGCTTTCTCTGATAATTGACGAACTTTTGTTCGATTGGTATTTTTCCCCCTTTTGTCTCTTGCATTATTTACCATTTTTTGATTCCATGAGAAGTAGGACTAGAGATGCATGTTCTGGGAATCCTTGCGTTATACGGACAATGCTGTTTTAAAAGACCTGTAGCAGGCAATTCCTACTTATGCTTGTTTGTTTACCATTCTGTGTGTTTACAGCTGTGCCAAAGACCTCGATGAAGGAATCCCATTTCCATTCCCCTTTGATAACTCCTCAGAGAAGGCAAGTGGGGGAGGGTTCACAATCGACCCCCATAATTTCTAGTCCACAGGTCATTCGTAGCTCGCGTCGTACGTTGATGCTATGAATCATGATATGCTTGTATTGAGTCGGTCAAGTGGAGAAGGGTTTGCAATCAACCCAACACTTTTTCATTAGCTGGTGTGTCGTGCATGTTGACGCCTCGATGTGATCTCATTATTGTCTTATATCTCCTACCTCGATAACGTAATATCTTGGTTAGGTGTTTAATCGCTTATGACGATTCACTCTCGTTTTTCTCTTGCCTAGATAATGCGATATCTTGGTTAAGAGTCGACACCCCTTATTCTTCTTACCTTGGTAGCTCAATACCATTGTTAAGAACCACTTATTCCCCCATTCTTGCTTGCCTCGATGATTCAATATCTTGGTTAAGCCTCCCTTTATCCTACATTGATTACCCAATATCTTTGTTAGGTGCCCTTTCTCCCTTGTCCTACCTCGATGATACAATACCGTGGTTAGGTGTGATCCCCGTTCCTTTCCTTCCTTGGTGACATGATACCTCGGTTAGGTGTGTGCTACTTGAGTGAGTGGATACTCCTCAAGCTTTGTGTGTTTACTTTTTTTTTGCATGATTACATGCTCCCGTAGGATTTCTCGATTCAATCTTAGAAAGTGAATTGAGATAGACCTTAGTTTTCATACCATGCATGCTAACATAGGTAGATTTCCCCTTTATCCTCAACTATAGGATCGAATTTTCATGACAACTCTAGCCTTACTTTGCTAGTTTCCCTTAGACCCTTTTCTTTCTCTTTTTCATTTGCATTAAAACTAAAAATTCTTTTTCTTTCAAACTTCAAAACACTCTAATAATATAAAAACGTATTTTCAAGGTAAAAACACCAACCAATTCAAACTTCATTTTTCCGCTTGGATTTTTTGTTAAAACCGTTTTTCAAGGTAAAAAACATACAACAAACTAAAACATGTGAGCTGAACTACGGTGCTCTGACTTTTCCATTGCACAAGGGAGAACGTAGGCACTAGGTTGCGGGGCCTAGGCGAGTAAAACTTTGTAAATATTCCTTCTTTTCCTTCTATTTTCTTTTGCATGCATATCCTCTTAGCATTAAGCTTTAGACATAGATTTTTACACACCCTTAGATTAGAGCAAACTAAAGTGGATCCTGTGGAGTACCATAGATGC